TAAAAAAAAAAAAAAAACCAACCCTATTTTGCCACATCAAACTTTATAGCCTGGGACAAGGAACTTCAGCTGGTGCAGGTATGTCACAGCACCAGCGCAAGGCACAGCTGTGCAGAGAAACCCCAGCAGAAGCTGTGCTACACTGCTGGGGTGCTGGAGCCAGGCGGGGTATGTTCACACAGAAGCAGGGGACAGCAGGCACAGCGGGTGCTAACGAACATGGCTGTGGTACTGGCACTCGCTCACAGCTGTCTCCCTGCTGCAGCGACGTCCTGTGCAGACATAGCCTAAGGAGGAACGTACTGCCAGGTGGCTTGAGCTGGCATCCATCTCTACAAGAGCAGTCACTTGTACAAGCCATTCCTGCTCTCCCAAGCCACCTGGCTCACCAGCTGATTCACAAGATATTTAGTTTGTGTAATCACGATTCCAGGGAACAAACTCACAAGCACCCCCTCCCAGAGCTGCATACACAAAGCCCCTCACATACAACTAAGAACAGCTACTGAAAACCTGGTCCCAAATGCACTGGGAGCTATTTTAGTGACAATCTGAGGGGTTGGGGAATTTCCCTGCCTAGCCACAGAAGAGATATAGCAGTATTTGAGTGAGATACCTCAGACTGCCTCTTCTCTTAACCCCATCTCCAAAAGAGCTTCCTCGTGTTCTCACCTAGGTTCAGATCTCAGCCTTTCTGCAAAGGCCAAACCCCCATGGGCTTTGCTGTGCTCAGTTTGCTCTTCTATTCCAGCAAGTTCCATAGACATGAGTTGGATCAAAACCCACCCACTCATTTCTGCAGTTTTAGACATTGATCACTATTAACAGAAGCACATTTTTGAAGTTTTGCCAACACCCAATGGCACAGTACAACCTCAAAATCCGGGCACCCCAAACTCACCCAGCTTTGCTTCCACGCCCCGCATGGCTGCACTGACAAATCCTTCGGGGGTGTAGGGGTTTGAGTATTTTACATAATGAAGGGGAAGAAGGGAAATCAAACATCAAGCTGGTGTTTGGTGCTTAGCTTGCTGCAGATGTAAACCAAATTACGCATTTCCAATCCAGCTGCCTTCCTCAAAGGTTACAAAATTACAGCACGTGGCAGCCCATACAGTTCTTTCCCAATCACCAGATGGTCTGAGGTGCTGCTTTTCCCAGCAAACAGGCATAGGTACCAGTGAGGTGTATTTCCAAATTGTAGTAATTTCATTTATGAGCACAGAACAAAAATAAAGAGGTAGTATTAACAGATCCTAAACTACATAGTACAAGACAAACACATACTCCTTATAAGAGATTTTTCCCTCCCCTCATAAATTAGTAGGAAAATCTAAAAAAAAAAAAAGCACAGGATACAGAGAAGGGGGGGGGGGGAAAATCAAGACAGCCTTTGCAGAGAAGGGAAAAGAACAGAATGGAAAAAGAGACTCAGGTCAGAGAAAGCCAACCAAATACTGGACAAGTTGGCTGGTAGTATTCTCCCTGGCCCTGCCTGTTAAGCAAGCATTGTTGATCCAGTGGAGAGATGGGAGAGGTTGAGTGAGTCATTGGTGCAGTACAACTCAACCCTGGGAACCCACTTCTTCCCCCTTCCCAAACAGGGCTCGCTCATACGCACTGGAGCCAGCAAACAGCTCCCTGGCAAGTGCTAGAGCAGCAACTCCTTTGAGAGAAAAGCTTTTGCAGAATTTCGCCCAATTATGTTAAGAGTCTTCCAAAGCCAGGCACACCTCAAGTTTGGTCTGCAAAGACATTAACTGCATTTTAGAGCAGGTTGAGAAGGCACCTGCGTCAAGCAGATGGAGTTGCTGCTGCTCAGAGGGGTTGGGTTTTTTTTTTCCACACACACACCTGAGGCCACCGCATTTCTGAGGCCCTGTCAGCTCCAGAACTAGGCAAAGTCACCAAGTGGCAGTTCTAACTGTACAGATACTTCTAGCAATACACACAAGGCCACTGGCTGACCTACCTTCAAGGGCTTGCATGGGTATCCAGGAGGGTGAACTTGCAGACAAAGCTGCACAAGCAGGAGTCAAGCTCATCTGCTGAAGCTCAGTGGCTAGTGACCTCCTGAACACCACCACCCTCACCCAAATCCTAATGCACCCAGCACTCCTTGGGACACCTCTGCCAGAGAACCCATCCCAGGTTCCCCTGTGCTACCCTCTTCTCAGTCACTCAAAAACACAGCCTTAACTTCATCTTTCTCAGGGAACAGAGCTTGGCCCAACAGCCTTATACTGGTAACAGTTTTCTAAGTAAAAGGCAGGGGAAGGGTCTGTGTGTGCATACACACAGGCTGAGGGGTGCTGCACTGGAGCCTGTTCCCCGTCAGGTGCATGTTCTCACTCTACTGAGCTTCACATGGAGGAAATAAAGGCAGATTTCTAGCTCTTTCATGACTTCCTTTTACTGTCCTGCTTATCAGCTTTTCTGGCTCTGCTGACAACAGTGCCAATCAGCTTGTAAACAGTTTTAATTTCATCTTCTCCACCCTCAAGCAGTATCAGAGAAAAGGCTTCTAGAGTGATAGGATGGTGACCACTGCACCAGAGGGCAATCAGGAATTGCACAGCGTTGAAAAAGGGAGCACCCCCAATTGCCAACAGATTCCTTTTGGCTTTAAGCAAAGCAAAACATGCACAGCAGGGAAGAGGGGTGGGGAAAGAAGGTGTGGTACCAGGAAACATTTTGGGGAAAATCCTACATCTAGTTTCTTACAAGCTAACAGGAATCTCTGAGATAGTCTAAAGATACCAGTGTGTGTCAATACACAGCCTTTCTACTTGCAAACCTACCTTTCCTCACGTTCCCTTTTTTGTTTACGAGCATGACGGTCCATCACGCTAGTTTTAGTCCTTGTCTTCTTCCAGGAGTAGTAAAATTTCACCAGGCTGGCTATTGATTTGTCAGGAAGCTGTAAATTAAACATGTATCCTTTTATATGTTTATATGTAAAGTATCCCCAGGAGTTCACATACAATTGGTCTGTTTTTCTCAAGGAACATCTGATCTCTCTGTGTTGGATTCTCTCAAAGGCTCAAGCAAGGCAGTTCTGCAGCCTTTCCAAAAATGATCTAGGGGGGAGTGTTTCAGGTTAGTGCCTACTATTTAGGACATCAAAATCTCTAAAGAGCATCTCAGCAAGCCTCCACTCACCAGCCAGGTAGCTGGTTCCCTTCAGAATAGAGGAACATACCAAGAGCAAATCCAAAATGGGGCCTTGAAACTGAGATAACAGTTTTAAAAGCCAACACAGGCATGGGTAAGCAACCACAGGAACTGCTGAATTGCAGGCTACATCCCAAGCATACCTTTGATGTTTGGTTAAAAAGGGTTATTCACACCATTCACATGATGAAGTCTATTCAAAGGTCTCAACAAAAGATGTTTTCACAAAAGGTGAAACGTTACTGTATGGTGAACTGAGGATATAGGAAAATACGAGAAATTTTTTTTTTTGTCCTCTTACACTAATGTCATTGCCCTGTAGCTACGAATGAAAAGTCTGCCTCCAAAAAGCATAAAACTACATTAAGACTAATTCTCTACTTCTGACGTACTCTGCATTGATGTTCTTACACAGCACTTCTACAAGGTAAAATTCCAGCCTTTCTTGCTGAATAAAACATGTTTTAGGTAAGTGTCTGATTCAGCTTGGAGGGCAGGACAGGTGGGGAGGAAAATAAAACTGTGAGCAAGAGCCAGATATCTCTTATTCAGATACTGCAGTTTAAGTCTTCACTTGAGATAAGCCTGGTTCTCAGACTGCAGGTTGACTTTAGGTCCTAATAATGGATCACACCAGAACTACCACCTTGGCCCACAGCTGCACACAGGCATAAATCCATCTGCACTGGTAAAGCACAAGTGCTATGTCGATGTTGTGCTGCCAACAGCCATACAGCAGACTGGTACACTGGAATTAAGGAGTTCCACAGAACAAACTCAGGGACAAGGCTGTTCGTGACAAACATCCACTTGGCTACAAACACATGCTAAGAGTACCAAATATCAGAACCAGCTCCGGTAAATAACATAATTCACTTTTCATTCTTTAGCTTCGATGATTTTTCCCCTCAGTTCCAAGCTGCACTATTGCTAATGGGGCAGCATATATAAACTAACAACTAACGTGCTCCTGAGCCATTGATTCCTGTCCCCTGCTAAACACAAAGCTTCATGCCATTTAATTCTTTTCATGCAGGATGGCTTTTCTGGGAGCAACAGTAAAAAAATATCATTACTTAGGGAACAGTGCATGAGCTTGGCATCCCTGTATTAGAATGCACTTCATTCAGGGACAGAGTCATACTTCTGCACATAAACTGAATTGAGAATTTCTTGCTTTGGCATTTAACCAAGCAACAGGACAGGCTTTATGTTCTCTTTTTTCCCCCGGGACATTCCCCTTCCCATTTTTTTCCCCTATGTAAGAACAGAGGAATAAAGAAGAAAACAGCTTCACTCTTCAGGAGTCCACAACTCTCCAGACTGTCTATATCAGCTCTCCATAATATGTGCAAGCCCCATCATCTGACCCAACGGAGTGGAAGACCCTAGGACTCCAAGAACATTTGGCAACAAATGCCAGTGAAGTAACATTCAAGGAGGACATGAGGAGAACGAGCATCTTCCTGCCACCCTTTTGAAAAGGGACCTGGCAGTTTTCCTTCATACTTAGGAAGCAAGTTGCCTTTCGCTTTTCAGCAGGATCAGCAACACAGACCTTCACACGTGCTTTAAAGAGGCTGGACAGACTGCAACAGCCTAGGCTCACTTCAGTGGGTCACAACCACCATAACCGGGTCCTGCTGGAACACTTGAGAGGCACTTTACTGAAGGAGAGCAAAGAACAAAGTCTGGTTCCCACCCAAGTGATGAACCATTTGAAGAGACTCTCAAGATATCATTAATAAAAAAATCTTTACATCCCATCCTCTCCCTCTTTCGAAAGAAAATTGCACACACCCCAGCAGTTCCCTTTCAGGCAGAAATACCCTTGAAGTTTTCAATCACAGTTTAAAAAAATATCACTACCAACCGAAAGCAAAGGGCTGAATGCTTGCAATGATGTATAAACCTCCACCACAGCATCCACTGACAGTCCCAAACACATTAAACACAGACTTCATAGTCAAATAAAATGAATTCCTAAAAAACAGGCTGTAAGAAAGGAAGTCAACTTTGCGCAGAGATGATCTTTACTCTGTGTGTGGGCGGGCACGTGTGTACAGACCATGCCTGAACTCCAGCTGAGATGTAAACACTACCATAGCATGCAGGGGACTGAAAACTAATTTCCAACCAAAAAAATTGCACAAAGTTTATCCTGAACCAGTAAAGCGCTTCAGGAACACACTTCTACAGAGACTCTGGAAACAATGTTGTTTCTTTCTATTCATAGTAATATTTTTCCTCTAACACCCCCTTTGGCCTGTTCTCTCCCAAGAGCGTTAGACAGGAGTTCAGCACAATCAGCATGAAAGACAACAGTCCAACCGCCTATTCTGCTTTTCCATTCCTCTGCCACCACTTACCATCTGCTGGATCCTGTGAAAGGTTTTCCCATGGAAACTGAAGGCCTGTTCAAACAAGACCTTGTCTTCCACTGTCCACTCATCTGGGAATGGAGTAAAGTTTGGCAGATCTGCCAAAGACTTCTCGATGTTGTGCTTGTGCCAAAACAGCATCCCAAGAGCCTAGAAATAACAAGGATACCAAGGGGACAATTGTAATCACAAGAAACATTATTATATGCATGCAAAGGCAGAGCTACAGCATTTTTCTCAGGCAACACATTAGACATAATTTTAATTCTCAGCTACATCAGACACTTTCCTGTGTGCAAGAAACCTGGAATCTGACCCCCACCCCGCTAGGTTTTGAAGACCAACTTGAAATTTATTCAAACCACACAGGTAGTAATGTAATAAGAGAGTAGCAACAGAAAGGGGGGAGAAGAAAATTGAAGAAGTGACTCCAACTTTACTGATCATGGTATGCACAGGAAAGTTAAGCAAAGACTTGGGAAGACTAGCTAAAAAGCTTGCTGGACTAAAGGAAGCTTCTTGCCAGTGCTAAACTCCCATCATTTCCCATGCAATTAGGAGGACAGTTTAGTTGACTGGGGGTTTTTATGGTTGTTTAGGGGGCTCTTTTTGAGGGGGAGGGGGGAAAAAGGGGAGGGGATGAGGGAATAACTGGAAGAAGGAAAGGCAGAGAGCATGCACAACCTTGACTTGCTGCTAAGATGTCCCTGGCCCGAAGGAGGAACAAATCTCACTTGTTTTGGGGGCTGCTCATTTGTTCCCTTCAGAGACGCCTCGTTTCACTGTTGCAGTCTCCGGTTCTCAGTTCCACAGACAAAGTGCATGTGCTGCGCTTCACCACCTGCAAACGGTCCTCCTCCCGCTGAGACACTCGCTCACAGCCACCCCTCTCCCAGGGGTGCGCAGCCCCTGTGCGTTATGACACATCACTACATCTGGCATGCCAGCGACCACCGCAAGTCATTTTGGGAAGGCCTGACTCTGCAGAGCTAGAAACCAGCCTTTCGCAACGGCTGTAAAGTGAAAACAATCCCCAGCACGCTGAGTAAAACATCAGAGTAACCTGCTCATCATATGCAAACTGAGCTCGGGTTTCACAGACACAGTTACCCCCATCTAGTAGTTTCGCCCTGGCTGCTCAGAGCTACAAAATCTCTCCAAACTCGGGGTTTCCCCATTATGCTTTGCTATGCAAAAAGCAGTTCCTTTATGGGATCTTGCTCCCCTGAGATTCTGCGGAGAGTATGCATATAAATATTAATGTTATCCAAGGTCTTGTCCTGACCCTACTGGCCTCTCAGTGCTGCCCAGGCACCCTCTCCTCCCTTTTGCCACCATGCAGAACAAGAAGTAGTCTTGGTTGCAGCCCAGTCACTCGAGGTGTCACAGGAGCCACTCAAGCCACTTATCTCCATCCACTCTGGCAAGCTATGGGGCCAAAGAAACTATTCTGCAGTCATGAAGGACCGAGTTTTCTCTCCCCTGTCATCCCTTTCAGCTTCAGATATGAGCTGTACCAAATATCTCTGTGAGAAAGCAAGGGAAAAACAAGGAGGGAGACCTTTTGGGAGGGCAGGGTAGTGTTAAATAGCACTAAGGTGCTAGCGAGGGCTGAGGGGACAACTGCTTACACAAAGCAAAAGGTAATCAAAAAGGTTTTCCTTATAGGCTTGTTTAACAGGAGAGCAGTATTCCTCCTCCAAGCCATGCTGCCCTAGAAGAGCTCTGCACTCATACACAGGCGAGTACACAGCTTTTCCAGCCTCCTTTGTCCCAGGGCATCTGACACGGGCTGGCAGGAGAGCACAGCTCATGGCCAGACTTGCTGTAGTGCTCCCAGAAACCTGTGACTGCAACGGCTCCACACAACCACCTACCACAGTTTGCTAACACCAGCTGAAGTGGGCTTGCCCTGCCGGAGCCTGCCCTGCCGGAGCCTACCCTTTGCCTGCCCTCGAGCTGGCGAGGCTGCAGGGACGCCCACCAGCACAGCCCCGAGCCTCCAGCCATCATCCCACAGCAGCAGAGCCAACAATGGGGCACTCGGCCACCGGCAAGGGGAGAGAAAGGACAGAAATATGGGAACCACGCACAGTGCAGATGCGGCCAGCTGGACGGGAAAGCTGCTGGGCAGAGGAGCGCCAGCACACAGCCCAGCCACCCTGCCAGACAGCTCACCACTCCCTTTAACAAACTGGCACATCCTAATCTGCAAAGGTAGGTTTTGGACAGGGGGCACGGATGGAAGAAGGGGAATCTCTGTGCAATGACTGTCAGCCAAGCCACCTGCACAGGGGTCCAAAGAGACCAGCTGTCGGGGGGATGCACATGTGGGAAAGAGCTGCCTCGGCCAGCAAAGCCCAGAGACAGTGGCCAAATTCTAAAGTGAGCTCTGACTGGCTTCCAGAGAGTCCGTATCAGCTTGTCCACAGTTACCCGGCCAACAGAAACTCTGATGATACCCACTGAAGAGAGAGCGTCCCTTGGTGACACAACAAATCATCCTGATTTGAAAGCCCTGACACTTGTCCCTGTAATACAAAATGAGTATGTGGCTTCCAGAGCAATACAAGATAGATCCTCTCCAGTTATCTCCTGGAAGTGCCTAGCTTAGCTGTCTAGGAAATCACAAAGGACCTGGGAAACATAACAGTTAACATCATTAACTCCAGAGTATTATACGAGAGTGCTAGGGAAGGAATGAGAAAATTTTTAGAAGGAGCGACATTTTTACAAGTTGCTCAGCCACTTTACATCCTGGTGTGGTGAGTCCCATAACTTCTACTTCTGTACACAGAGGAGGGGAGAAAAATGGGGAGAAAGTCTTTGAGGAATGAGTGGGAGGTCTAATTCCAATGTTAAAATGAATGCAAATCTCTGTTAGCCAAATCTAAGGGTTTTTTTAAAAAAACTGAATTCTCGTGTTTTGAAAAATCACAAGCTTCATTCTGATCAGTCTTCTGGATCAGTCTACACTCTCTGAACAACACCTCTCCACTAAAATAATGAAACCCATTTTTATTACCCCAAGACAATCTCTTTTGGCAAATACTACCTACAATATCCAATACTAGGATATACCCATCTCAACTGAAGTGAGCTACCATCCTTATTTTTATTCAAGTTTGCAGCCTTTTGGTGCCTTCGTGTTCCTTTTTCTGCTGTTTTCTGCTCTTAGAAACTATAAATATCAAGCCTGATCATTCCTGGGTTTGCTGGAAATTTTGCTGGCTCTCTCAACTTCAATGTTCTTGTTCCACAAGAAGTCTTTTTGAGCACAAGTATCAACCACTGAAAGTCTGACTCAAAGATGACAGCAGAGTCATTTAAATAGAAACCCTTGCCCATCCAAATCATTGGTTTCTATGCTCATGGCCTTTGCCTGAACAATTTCATAAACTTTCAAGTTTTCATGGAATCCCTTTCTAGAGACAGTACATAATTTGCCAATACAGTAAGTCACGAGATTCCCCGCCTTCCCTTTCCGGGCAAGTATTAGTGCATAAGGAAACTCCACACAATTCAGAAAAGCTTCCCAGGCACAGGTCTACTCATCTCCCCAGATGAATGTTGAAATCGATGTTAGTTAACACAGGGAAGATTAGTACACAATCCTAGACCACGTGGAGTAAAGGAGAGGTCTGCTCCTCAGACCAGGATTTCCATCCCAGGGCTAAAGGCACTGGCTAACCTCAGGGACAGCTGGTGAAGTCGTCCACCGCTACTGCACCGACATCTGAGGTACCCATCTATGAAATGCAAAGTGATTTGCAGCACAGTTTTAAGGTAAATAACTGTGGATGTTGGTTTGCCTCAGAAAAGCATATGATGGTTCAATAGCTCATTAATAACTGCCAAGACATCCATGAAGCAGAGATGGAGCAGTCAACTGGAAACTGCAATGCAATCAGGCAGCTGTCCAAAGACAAGCCAATCTTTTCAACATTGTTTAGGGGTTCTGAAAATGCTCAGGAGGTAGTCACCATAGCAAGCATAATACTCATGGCCAAACTCCGTTAGAAGTTATGATGGTTTTGGTTTTCTCCTTTTGACTCTTGATGTAAAAGTAGGGGCGAACTCCATATCCCCAGAGCACAGGTTACTGTTAGGAACAGTCAGTTTTGGGAGAAGTATGAGAGGAGAAAACACAGACTGTACACAAAGGAAGAAGCAGTTCTAAGCAGTCACTTTAAGTCATGTTTTAATACCTGCTGAAAAATATTTTAAAATAAACTAAGTATTCAAAGGGTTGTTACCTGCTCCATATTGTATCCGTGCTTCTCTTTAGCAATGGCAATATATTCGTCCACTGAAAAACAAAGAGAAGGCATAAGAGCATTTCATATAATGATCTCATCTCTCCTTCCCTTCCCCTTTCCAGTCTAAAACCCAGTCCTGCAGCTCTGACTTCAGTCATGGTCATTGCATCCACCACAGAGAACTCTCATGAATAGCTGCTGTTTCCAACAATTCAGGAAAGGAAGGAAACAGAAGAAAAACAACAGTCACCAGACAAACTACTACATATTTTCCTTAACAAGCCTAAATGATGCATGATATCCAATCCAGTTCCAGTACTTCTGAAACATAGCATATAATGTTTCAGAACTTGTTCACCAAAGCTATAGACATGACTGTCTCAGCTAATTTTCTTTTTTTTAAATCCCCCAAAGAAGTTGTTTTCTTAAGAACAAAAATCCTCATACACAATCCATACATTCCAATACTGCCAGACTTCTAGTGTTGCACAACCACTGCATATATCTTGGCAAATTTTTCAGCTTTTATGCGTCAGCAATTTTCATCTTGGACCAAACCTCAGCCCTATGCATTATTAGGCCCCCACAAGCTCCTAACCTTTACAATGTGAAGATGCCCGAGGAGTTATATTTTGTATAGATGGGACTAAAACCCAAATGTCTTTTTCAGTATGAGTGACTGAGCTTACATTATATGTTCAACAGCACCCATTTGAGAGGATTGGATCAAAGTCAGTACTAGTGGTGGTGCTCTGAAGTCTGTGCCCTTGTGCTTGGTCATTATTAAATGCACTGTAATGATAATAACACCCCTGAAAAAAACAAAAAACAAAAAAAAACCCAACCAAGCTAAAAGGTGAGAATCCTGCTTCATCTAATGGAATGGAAGATGCTGCAAGCATTGGTTGTCTGTAGGATCCCCAACGTGCTAGTACCCTGAAAGACTTAGAACTGGTACACACAGCCAGAATTCTCATTCTTCTACAAATTTTGGACTTCAAGACAAGTCACTTAGTAATGAACTCAAAAATCATTCCCGCTTCCTTCTCTGCTTGCACCCCTCCCTGGGTATCTGCAAATTCCTGTGCTGAGCACCCGACTCATGGAGAGCATGCGCAGCACCTCCGGAAGGAAATGGTTCTGTGCGCACTGCAGCTAAGGAAGCCACATTTCCCACAGTCTGGGCCTCACAATTAACTTCAGCTCTCAAATGTGCTTCTCCCATGTTTTCTGCCTTTATGGACTCTGGCATGGAGTCTCTGGTGTCTAATAGCGTGGCATTTCTTAAAGCCTTTCCTTCAAGCTGGGACACTCCTCAATTCTTCCTTCAGCTGAGCAAACTAAGCAATGAACTCAAAACAGTATTGGGAAAACAGAAAGATCAGAAAATGCACAGCAGGAGAGCACCAGCCTCTTATTTTCAGCTTGTCATCGATACAAAGAAATTAAATCTAGGTACTTAAAATAGACATCCCATCTTACTAGACAACATGACGTGATATCAATGCCAGCCCTTCATTTGGAGAGGAGATGCCTTAGTTAATTTTCACGAAAAGGGGTTGCAAAAAAGGGCTTTGTTAAGTGCCATGGAAAAGTCCATGAGAATATTAATACAACCACATGTTGTGGCAGGAAAAGAGCATGCACTAAATACAGGCACAGTTCCACGTTAACAAGGACACTCCATGAGGTTCTTGCTCTTTCAAGCTCCCACCTGCACGCAACAGGGAATCCCAAGGGGCTGACAAACCTGTTTGTTGGACCATGTTCTGGATACATTCAGTAAAAGTTTTATGAGCCCTTCAGAGAAAGGTGTAGCCACAACCATTCATTTGCACCCCTGCAGTACAAACACATCTGCCTCTTCAACAAATTGTTTCCAAGGACCATGCTGAACTGGGATGAAAACTATTCCTTCTTGCAAACAACCTTTTCTTGCACAAGGCAAACATAGTAAAATAGTTGCACAGACAGTGGAAGTGACAGGGACAGTGATAGAAACTTCTTAGGCTGAAATCGCTGCATTGCCTAATAGAACATCCTGAGGGTTACCAAAGGGTAGGAACCTCGGAAATTAGCTTTGCCATGGAAAATAACAACTTGTAAAACCACACCCCAAGGGGAGAACATGATCCAGGAGGACCACACAGGGGAAATGGGGACAGAGAAGGGAACTGCCTCCTCCCTACACACTATCCCTTCCCTCCACATGCCAAACAGGGCAGGGAACATCAGTAGGATGTGGGCAGAAGAGCCACTTCAGATGCCTCCAGACTTCATAACCACACCAAAAACTGCCAGGAAACCCTAAGTGCAGCATTTCCCTGTACTTCAGCTAAATGCTCTCGGCTTCCTTAGGACAGGTATTGCACATGCAGTGTTATATATTTTGTCTAAGGGGGAGGTGAAGGAAGGGGGCGGGAAAGGAGTTGAATTCTCTGAAGTCCAAGGCTGAATTAAGCTCTTGAATGTTAAGTACTGCTGCATTAACTAGCTCGCTTTCACTGTGGAAAGATCTACAGTTCCTGATTTGACTTCAGCATCTTATCCTTTAATATATACAGAGAAGAGATGAGGTCGTTCTCCTTTCCAGCATATTACCTTTCTTATGACAGATGCTATAAGCAATGAAAACATACTTCCCCCCCTTGCTCCCCACCCCCCAAAATATCATTACAGCCTTTTCTCTCCTAACTGAGCAAGAATGTTAGCAAGGTCCCCCCATATCAATAGGATTTCTCTTGAATCAACATCAATACACCACAGAGCCAAACAGTATACTATGAGTGATCAGACACCATGAAAGGAGGCAGGATGCTTTTCTTGTCATGGTGGGGTCTGTAACACCTCAGTGTTAACACCTCATTATTACAGTGGAGGAAGGGAAAAGAAAAATAAGGAAGAGGCAATAAGGCAGTAAACCGACCATGAGCACACAGCAATGCTCCTTCTATACACTAAAAGAGTGTTTGTGGATGAAGGAAGGACAAGGAGTACACCAGTTCCCTGCCTGCTTACTGACAATCTAGCCTGTTCTGCTTGTCATTTCTTGGCTAATTGCGGGCTCACTCACTTTGATGCTTGCACCATCTGAGAGGTATGCCAGTCCCTTGAGCAATCCTTCTGATTGCTCTTTCTTTACCATCCCCCTTCATATGAAGTGAGCAAGAAAGAGCATGGCACCAGCTGAGTCACAGGATCCCTTAAGTCTCCCACACCAGTAGAGCCTGGAATTGCCACAAGCTTAATGCTTCACATGCCACGCCAGATAAATAAGTGCCCTCTTCCATCTCTGCCTTCCTCACACACCTCTAGCAAGCCCAGGGCAGCGGGCACATGAAATTCTGCTCCACTGTGTTTCAGTGGCATTCAGTCACGCTCAGCGTGTAACCCAGCAATCTGTTTAGACATCAGAGTTGGGAGCCAGAGGAGCCTGGGGCAGAGCCCTGCTTAAACCAGACGAGACAGTTTGCCAACACAGCTCTTAGCTGCTTTCCAAAAGAGAATAAGCAAGAGCAGCAAAGCAATCCCATCCCATTTCCCCCAGCATAAACTACAGCACCACGTGCTCTTTCTACCAGCATAACTTTTCCCCGAACAGGGCAGACAAGAGCATCCTCCCCACCCATCCAACTAATTTCTCTATGCCGGAAAGATATTTTGGCCAAAAAGACAATGATACTTGACTAGAGACAGTCATGTGACACAGGAGATGCATTGCTCCTGTGAAGGCTCTTGTTGCTACTAGAAACAAGATGGGGGGAGGGACAGAGAAGAGAATCATAAACTGGTATTTCTTTACTTATTTGGCTACATTTCTTCTCTTGCATGCATTTTAGCTGTGTGGGGGTGAGCAGGACCCCCCTGTCCACCCCACGCCCAAAATGGAGTGAGCACTGGCCCGAAGAGCCCCTTCCTACAGCCAGTCATGCTCAGGAAGGCAGAAGTAGCACAAAAGGTGGGGACGCAAAGGGAACAGAGCCCCACGTACACATTGTCACCAGCAAAGAGGAGCACAGTGTTCAGATGCTAAAAAACACCTCTCCCTAATACAAGAAGTGAGGTCTACAGTGAGGTCATCAAAGGACCCCTGGCGTAGCACTAACACAGCCAAAGAGCCAAGGGAAACAGAAGGGAGTGGTAAAGGAAGCAGAGAAAGATGCTTCCCGCCCTGCCATCTAGAGAGGAGAGTTTGACCAAAATGGTGCCATCAACCCCCTGAATTTTGTAGTCTTGTTTCCAGCTGTCTTTCTCATACACCCTTTTCTTCTGCTAACCATCTTCCTGCAAGAATTCCTCACTAGAGGCAAAAGAAAGGGGACCCTCTTGGCTGGCAGAGGGAAGGAGAGACAAAAGCAAACAACTGCATTGCTGATTTTCAGTCCCGCATCCTAGAACAGCGAATTGAGAGATGTAAAACAGGAGCATTAATTTCAAGGGGGTGGGAGAACTCTGAAAAGAGAAATGCCTGAAAGCAATGATTCCCCTCATCACCATTTGGTCAGATTAAACGATCTCTCCAAGTGGGTCTTTTGGGAGAATTTCTCCCCCTACCCAAATTGCTTCTTAATGACCCCACAAGCATCGCATCATGTTTAGTGGACTCAGTGACCCCAAGGAGGGTTTGCAGCAGAAGCGAGTGTGCTAAAGCCTATAGAAAGCAACAGGAATGCAGAGGTAGAGCTGTTGCTGCAACCTCAGTTCACCCCTATTACTGGGGTACTGCAGGAGCTCTGAACACTTTGCGTATTACGTGATGCAATACCCTGACAGAACGGGGTGAAATGAGGACAAAAGCAGCAGCCTTCACAGCCTCAGTAATGTGCTTCACAGGGTTTGATCAATGCTGGAACCTGTGAGGAATTCTGGATGTTGCTGTACATCTCCCCCTCCCCTCCATCTCCCTTGAGAACAGAGGAAAAAAAAAGTCAAGACGCAGAACAAATCAATGCTATATAAAGAAAATAAGGAACATGGCTTAGACACATACATGTGAAATTCATCCAAATTTCAAAACACAATTATGATGGTACACAAACAACTAAGCACA